GAAAGCTGGGGAGGGCTAGCCTCCCACTAGTTCAAATTAAGGGGCTACACACCCCTTAATTCGAACTAGTAAGTTCGAACTAGGCTTAGTCCTCGTAAAATGAGGTTTACCTAGTTCAAACTGAGGGCTCCGCTAGTTCGAATTAAGTTCGAACTAGCGGAGCGCTAGTGTAGCGCCTATCAAAGTTAATTCGAACTAACGTCTGTTAGTTCGAATTAACTTTGTAGTGTAGACATACCCTCGTATATAGTTTTTGCAGTAGATTTAGCATGAGCCATTCACCTGAGATTCAGGCTCAGTGATATTAGCTCCTCAGGACAATTCGGATGGTCTTGTAAATTCATTGGACACATGATGAAAACACTATTAATGTTTAAGCAAAATGCAGGACAATGTAGCACTTTAAAGACTAACAAGATGGTTTATTAGATGATGAGCTTTCGTGGGCCAGACCCACTTCCTCAGATCAAAAATCCACGAGGAGTAATGGTAGTTCGAACTAGGAAGCCTAGTTCGAACTACCTAGTTCGTGCCGCGTTTAGCCGCGCGGCACGGGGCTCGAACCAGCCGGGATTTAAAAATGGCGGCGCCCGGTTTATGCAAATGAAGCCCAGGAAATTCAAATCCCGGGCTTCATTTGCAATTGCGGTATGCCTACATTACCCCGCTAGTTCGAATTAGCGGGGTAGTGTAGACATACCCTATGAATCTAAATCAACAGCATTATGCTAGTCCTTTAAGAAATTGGTAAGTTCTTCATTAATTTTACTTAATCACTGGGCACATACAAAATACTTTTTCATTCTTTACTTGAGGTAGTAAAATTTTTCATTGAAAAAAAATAGATTTGTTAAAAATAAATAATTTTGACTGAAAAATATAATGAAATATTTCCATTTTTGTCTCAAAAATTAACTCTTGGTTTCTAACAAAAAACCAGAATATATTACCAAAAATCATTTTAGAAACCCCCAAATGTGCTGGGTTTTGGTTTCATTTTTATAAAAAAATTCAAGGGAATAAAAATGAAAAATTCTTATTTTTCAGCAAAAAAAAATTGGTATTTTTGATCGCTTGTAGTGCTTAATTATGCAGCACACCCAAGAATTTTACTCATAAAGAAGCTTTTGGTAGACATGAACTTGGGCAGCTTTGCTTTGGCAAAAATCATATTTTGCTTTCAAATTATAAAAGCTGAACTCAACTCTGGGTTTGGAATGCCAGACTGCTACAGAATATTCTGCTCATTTCAGAACATCCTGCTTTTTGGTTATGGTTCTAGACAAAAATAATGTTTCCCTTTTCCTCTTACAACTGCTTTTAGAACTATAAGGGGAATAAAATGAAAGGAAACTAAAACACAGACTTGGAATTCCTAATTTAAATGCAGTATAATAGCATGCTATTTACTAGCCTTTAGCATTGCTAAAATACATGCTGAAGTACAGTATGGATTCCTCAGCATGGCAAAATTCATATACAAGTAAGTGATTAGTTAGTTCCCAGGAAACCCATACACAGCTTTTATAATTTTCCCTTGAATTTTTTTATGAAAATGAAACACATACAGAAATGTAAACTAAAGTCAGCTGCGAGCACTGTCAAAATTCACATAGGAGCAGGCAGTACATCAGTCCCCAATATAACCAACATACATGTTGGACCATGCAAAAAAAGACCTCAGCAGAGGCAAATACCTCAGGTTCACAGCAAGACAACTTATTGCATTACCAAACTACATGGAGTAAACCAAATGCTACCATTACCAATCCACATAAATAGGCAGGAGCATGAAGAAAACCAGCCCCCTACATTAGCAACAATGCATTTTTGCTTTGGGCTGAAAAACTGCATGATCTTACGAATTAAAAAAACAGTGCAAACCAGTTCCAATATAACATAAATACAGGCAGATTTTTACTAGGTATGGCTCTGGATGGGCAGTAATGGACTCAGGCTAGATAAGCATCCAAAAGTTCAGCTAGACCTGCAGCCAATATAATCCATATGCTTCCTTCAGAAGAGCTACAAGAACATCCTAAAACTCCTGCCTAGTGCTTTTAGGAGAAGGCCTCATGGCCTGCTATGTTTCTTTGGAATCTTCGGAGAATGGATGAGAAACATGCAGTAACTCTGCCATTTTCTTTAGAACAAACAGTTTAAAGTATTGTTCTCACTAAAGCAAAATAAATCAATACAGTAAATCTACACAGAATTTCTACAAGAAGGGCCAGCTTGTGACCCCAGTTACATTAATCTGGTCCTTAGTATCTAGAAAAGGAAAAGCTGTTGTTATGATGTGTTGGTACATCAGGAGTTTCTTACTCATTGTTCACACTGTCTTTAATTTTTATGCCAAGAGTACTCGACTTTTTGGCACTAGAGAGATGAGATTATGCATCAATATCCTGTAATTACTATTCCAAATTGCTTAGGTGATTTTCTCCTTTTGATGAGATGTTCAGAGCATTTTGATTTAGTCAGGCCTTCCATTTAAGATGTACCTATAAACCAGTCAGTAGATACTATAACAATGATAGTTAATGGCTCCTAATGAAAGGCAATTTTTATCTGAAAGCTCTCTAGATCTAGTGAGGAATTTTCCATCAGGCTATGTCTATACTGCTGGGTTTTTTTGGCAGAAGATAATGCAAATCGCACTCTCATTTGCATATCTTCTGTTGATCCTTTTTGCAGAATAGGTTTTGCCACTAAAAAGCCTGGTGTAGACGGGGCCATTTGTTGGAAAAAAACCCTTTTTTGCAAGATCCTGTAAACCTCATTTTTTGAGGAATAAGGGATCTTGCAAAAAAGGGTTTTTTTTTTTCAACAAATGGCCCCGTCTACACAGGGCTTTTTAGTGGCAAAACCTCTTCTGCAAAAAGGATCGGCAGAAGATATGCAAATAAGAGCACGGTTTGCTTATCTTCTGCAAAAAATATGGCAGTGTAGATATAGCCTCACAGGAGGGGAAGAGGTGGGGGGAGTTAGCCTGAAAATGCAATTTCCACGAGAACTGAAATTTCTGAGAAAAATTTGTCATTTTTGCCAAAATTTCAATTTTCTGCCAACAAAAATGGTTTGTTGAACTGAATCAAATTGTTGTGTTTGGGCCTGTTTGCTAATAAGCTGTGAGTGGGCCGCATGAGTGGTCTTTCTTCATCTCAGTGGGTCACAAGATTACAGTAATCAAGGTGGTCTACCAGGATAGGTTAGTTTTGCTAACTGGGCTTCCGTAGCTAGAATTAGTGTGGGGGGGGGTGCCGACTGAACCATAAGAATGGCTATACTGGGCCAGACCACTGACCATCTAGCCCAGCATCCTGTCTTCTAACAGTGCTTTGATTGGATGCACAGGGAGTGCAGGGCTCTCACAGTCAATGTTGTGTGTAATCAGCACACACCTCACTACATGTGCCCTTGCTTTAAATGTGTGTCACTTGAGTATTACCAGAAGGGGGAAAAAAACTGCATGGAGGGAAACCAAAGCAATCTGGCAACCCTGTGTGTGGGCAATGGTAAATATCTTGTTTCGTGGACCACACACAGAACTCCAATGGGTCACATGTGGCCCTCAGGTAGCAGGTTGCCCATCACCTGTGTAGTGTCTCCTAGGCGCTGCGGTTTGAGAGCCTCATGTTCTCATTCTCCTCCTCGGGCTCGGTGCAGCTCCCGTGACACACTACAGTTCTCTCCTCTGGCATTACTGCCTTGATGCTTTATGAGACATGTGATCCAGTCAGACAATCATAAACAAAAATAGGGCATGAGAGCCCCCCAATTACAACTTCCATGAATTACTGATGGATATACTTCCATGCTTAACCGACTTGAAATCAGACAGTTCAGCTCAGCTGGACAAATCAAAATTGAAATATTTCTTTTTGAGAATACAGAAATATTTAACTTGGAACAAACCAAAGTATTTCACTATTTCTGAATCAAAATTTTAAGGCACTTTCCATTCCATGAAAAACAAATGTTAAAATGTTTCCCAGGGAATGAAAATTCTAGTTTTCAAGCAGCTCTCGCTATCAGTTGTGGTAGAAGCTGTGATCAAAGCACCAGTGCCTCTGTCGGTATAAAGTGGTTTAGATGTACTGAAGTTAGAGCTATGCTGACTTACATCAGCAGATGATCTGGTCCTACATGTTTTTTTCTTGTGTTCACAGCTTGACCCCTCCCTTAGTGCAGTATTGTAAGGAGGTATAAAGAAATCTCTACTTACCTTTCATCACATCTAATCAGAATCACACTATCGGTGCCAATCCCCAAGGCTGCAGCTCCCTTCTTCACAGAAAAGTGACTCTGAAAAAGCATATTTGTTGTTTTATATTATGTTTAATATTAGTTTAATCCAATTCAATGAAAAACAAAAACAAAAACCCTGCAGTTGTGTAGTCTCCTTGAAAAACAACCCTATAAGAACAATCATTCTATTAATGTAGTTTTTCAGAAACTCACCTCTGACACTTGAAATTTTATATCAGTATTCCCTCAGCATTTGAAGCAAAGTTAATAATTCTAAAATTATTTTACTCACAATAGTAACACTATTATAGCTGATTTCAGAGCCAAATTCGGCCCTGCTAACAAGCTCACTACTTGCACTGACTTCAACGATAGTTGCCTCTGTGCATCCCTCACTGAATTTGACTCACTGTACTTAGACCATTGGGATGCCCATTGGCATTTCAAGTAAAGTGTGTTTGTTACATGGCCACTTGCCAAACAATATCAAAAGCCTGAAAAAAGGCCTGTAATTGAGGATAGGCAAAGACAGAGGCCTAATTCTGATTTCATGCCAGTGTAATTCCAGTCATAATTCTACTGGAGTAAATGTAGTTATAGTAGTGTAAGATCAAAATCAGGAATGTTATTCTTACTGCATAGGATAAAAGAGAATATTGAATGTTAGGAAAGTAGTTACATCTAATTTCCCTTGACTCCTGCATAAATGTTTGTAATTTGGGGTTCCAATTTCAGAAATTCAATCAGAATCACTATCATCATGGTGCAGGAATATATCAAAGTGTACAGCTGAAAAATGGGTTTTGATCAATCTAAAACTGACTAATGAATCTGTCTAAAGCCTTTCAGTTTTAACTACAAATCACTAAACTTAAAAAAAAAAGTAGTAAATACAATTTTCCTAGTGGAAATCCACCATTGAATTCATGATTAGGATTAGCTATAAATCTGAAGACTCTGTTTGCCAGTCAGTATATATTAATATTTAAATATTGATGGAAGTTATGGGCATATATAACTTAATGTAGTCATAAGTTCCTAACACTGAATAGTGAAGCAGAGGGAACATATTTGTATAGTGTACAGCAGCATTAGTGTAGGGCAAAGAACAGAAACAAGATAAATAGCATACTAGACTTTATCATGAAGTCATAGATGTTAGAGAAGGAAAAGACACTAGGCCATATAGTTGTCCACTCCCCACTTCCCCAGTTACAGGATTTTATCTTGCTAAACTTGTGAGATGGAGATTGGGATTTACCTTCTCATATATGTGGGACTAACAGACCAGAAAGGAAAAAAATTGTGCTAATGTGTGCTCAGGATGTAATATTTTCTATTTTGAAAAATAAATTATTTTCTTAATATTTAGGGCTGAACTGTGCAACTTAAACATTCCCTTAACATAACTATTTATGGAATAATGTTTGTGCATGTTACATTACATGATTTTTAGTAGACTAAAGAAAAAGTGCTGATTTTATGAAATAATTGATTTTTTAAACCCTAAATTTGTTCCCTCAAAGTGACATGAATAATTGTTTCAGTAGTGTCTTATCAGGATCATACAACTGGCAGGATTGCAACACTGATTTTCTCTTGTAGGATAAGACATTTGTTTTTCTTCACTTATATTCCTTAAATCAACAGGCTTTTATTAATTAGTTTGTTCACTCTTCTCTGTCAAATATAAGAAATTGACTCATTGGATTACAGTTGATAGAAAGAGGACTTGCATTTCTTGAAGACAATTATAAGATGAACAGAGATGTGTTTATTACACCTATCTGGGAAACAGTTCATGAAAAGGATGCTGATAATACTATGCTAGAGACTAGCTCAATGCTGAGATGAGCAGCATTATGAACTTTAAGGGTGTGTCTAGACTGGCAAGTTTTTCTGCAAAATCATCTGCTTTTGTGGAAAACCTTGCCAGCTGTCTACACTGGCTGCTTGAATTTCCACAAAAGCACTGACGATCTCATGTAAGATCGTCAGTGCTTTTGCGGAAATACTATGCTGCTCCCGTTCGGGCAAAAGTCTTTTTCCAAAAAACTTTTGCGCAAAAGGGCCAGTGTAGACAGCAGAGATTTGTTTTCTGCAAAAAAGCCCCGATCATGAAAATGGCGTTCGGGGCTTTTTTGCGGAAAAGCGCATCTAGATTGGCCATGGACGCTTTTCCGCAAAAAGTGCTTTTGCGGAAAAGCGTCCTGCTAATCTAGACACGCTTTTCCGAAAATGCTTTTAATGGAAAACTTTTCCGTTAAAAGCATTTCCGGAAAATCATGCCAGTGTAGACGTAGCCGAAATGAACAGCTCTCAAAATGGAATTCTGCAGGCTGTCATAGTTAGCCATAACAAAATCACTTTTGAACCAACAAGTACTGAAGTTCTCGATGGTGCATGAAAGCAGTTCTCTGGGAGGCCTTGTGGCCCCCATGCTGAGCCCATCAGTGCCATTCTTTGGTCAGACACAGCATTGCATAGATTCTGCTCAGATGGGCATGGTGGTCAATATGCCCTTCTTGTTCTAATCTCTATTGCCCTATTCTGGAGGCAGGGATATTAATTTCTGTCCCACTGGAGTGCATAGCCTTCCCCTATGTTTTGCAGGGATTATCAGCTCCTGGTCCTCAAGGAAGCCAGAACCCCCTTTGGCTCTTACCTCCCTATTAAGAGGCAGATAGGAAACACAGGTCCATTCACTAACTTAGTTCCAGCTCAAGGTCCTTAACTCAGACAGGCAGGATCAGTTCTTATCAATTGTCTTGCTGTATCCTGAGCTCCCTCACTTCTGCAGGCTTCTGCAGCCTGTGGTTCAGTTCATCCCTCCTTTGGGTTGCTGTCACCTTGGGGCAGCATCACACCAGCTTGCTGGCAGAGCCACCTTGCTCTGGACTGCTGGATTCTCTGGCAGCTGCCCTGCTTCTCGGCTCTCTTATTCTCCCAGCTGCCATGAGGAGGGCAATCAGCACTGGCTGGCAATTCCTGCATTCATTCCTTAATCGCTAGTCCCACCTGGGTTCTATGCCCCAATGGCAAGCTTATATGCCTAATGATATAATAATATTTCTTGGTTAAACTGAAATTTCCTCTGTGGTGCATGACTGTAATATACCAGCATGGCACACTGATTAGCTATGCCAAAATTATCTATTCCAGCCCTGTAATCTGTGCTCTAGTCCCCACTTCAGCAAGCCATCCCTCTTCAGCAAACCTCTTTAGCATGTTTTTAATGTTAAGCGGTTGTATAGCTCTAACTGACAGAGTTTAGCACGAGCTTAAGTGCTTCAATGAATAGGGATGGATTTTTGTGTGCTTACACATTTGAATTAGGGACCAGGATGTGTAAAATGCTGACTTTAGTGGCCATAGAAGGTGCTCAGCCCCTCCCAAAAGCACTCAGCATCTTCCAGAACCCCAGTGGTTTGCAAATAGGTATTTGCATGCAGCCCAGCTCTGCATGCTGTCATGGGCTGGCTTGTCCAAACCATGGCTGAACCGAGTGACTCCACCCAGGCGCGTTGCCTCTCACAGGCCTGTCGTCTCTTTCGTGAAAGGGGAAATGGTGTTCAATCCTGCCATGCCCCAGTTCTGCTCAGCAGGGTGCCCCTGTCGTTCCCAGTCCTGCAGTGTGTTTCATGCAGCCCTTAGTGCACATGTTAAGAAACACACCTGGGTGCTCTTGGCTACAGTCAGAAACGGGCGAGCTTTTCCCCTCCAGATTCATGAGTCCACTCTTGATGTAGGGTGGGACTGTGAGTGCCTCAGAGGCCTAGCTTCACAGGAGTGGAAGGGCGATCAACCAGCTGCTTTCCCTCCCTTGTGCAATTGTGCAAGAGCACCTATGGCAGCAGCCCCTGACAAGCTGGGAGGACGGGATACCCTGGCCTACCCAGAAGAAGCAGTTTCCTCTTTCTGGCCATATGGCATGAGCAGCACTAGGGAAGGTTGTTTTCATGGAGGCACAGTCTCCCTAGCATCTCTTCCGAGGCAATGTGGCCATGCACACTCCAACCATGGAGCCCTGTGATAATGCAGCTTAGAATCCAATAGGAGGCTATTGACATGACCCTTTGACCAAAATCCTGAGCGCAGGAAGACTCTGTTGATCTTTACAGATTGGAGAGGAACTGTGAGGGTGTTGCTCATGAACAGTTCCCTAAAGTGGGCAATATAAGAAAATCATTGATTTCCTCCATCTATTTATAAACCTCACCATATGTTTTAGGTGTGGTTATGTGAAAAGAGTCCTGTATGCTATTTAGTATAATGTATCAGTTATATCGGAAAGAGCTAAAGAACTGACGCTGCAGCATTAAGTGTAATTCATTGGCTTTAACATCGGCAGTATTACAGAGAGGATGAATTTGGCCGATTATTTCACACTGGGTAAAATGAAATTGCTTCTGTAATTCTTCTATCCAGTAGAAAATAAAACCTTTCAGAATGCCATAAAAGAGGAAATGTTGGCTTGAATGGATGACCACTAGGAAGAAAATTAAGCCCATATGTTCAAAAGCTATGGCCATGCCTAGCAGTCCCTTTTGCAAGGCATCGGTAGGCTGACAGCTTGAGAAAAGTGCATGCAGCTCTGAGCATCTCACTTGCCTGAAAATTGCTTACAAATTAAAGGGACATCAGAGATGAGGGACAAAAGCAATTTAGGGATAAACAGTGGGAAGAAAATCAGGCCAGAGTTTAACACACAAAAATGCAAGTGCAATTCAAACTTCTGAATCTGCACGTGTGTATGCATTTGCTCAATTTGTGCAGACAAATAGTGCACAGTTGCTGTTTCATTCTTGTTGGTCTACTGGGCTACGTCTAGACTGGCATGATTTTCTGGAAATGCTTTTAACAGAAAAGTTTTCCACTAAAAGCATTTTCGGAAAAGCGCGTCTAGATTGGCATGGACGCTTTTCCGCAAAAGCACTTTTTGCGGAAAAGTGTCCGTGCCGATCTAGATGTGCTTTTGCACAAAAAAGCCCCGATCGCCATTTTCGCAATCGGGGCTTTTTTGCGGAAAACAAATCTGAGCTGTCTACACTGGCCCT